ATAGTATTTGTTAAAATTTTTTACTTAATGTGGGCAGAGTTATGCATGCCTATAATCCCAGCAGTTTGGGAGCTGAGGCTGGAGGATTGTGAGTTCAAATCAGCCTCAGCAAATTAGGGAGGCCCTAAACAACTCATCAGGATCCTGACTCTAAATGAAATATAAAAAGGGTCTGGGGATGTAGCTCAGTGATTAAACATCCCTGGGTTCAATCCCTGGTGTGAAAAAACAAATAAAAATTAAAAAAAGATTTTTGCTTAAAAATATTTCTAAACTGATATATTGGTGCTATTGATATGGATTTCCTACTAATATTCTTTATATTCAGTGAAAAACTATGAAATGTATATGCTGTGAACTACATTAACATGTTTCTCTTTTGGAAATTCATATCACACATTAGTGGATTAAAGGTTCTGAGAAGTCTTTTAATAAAGACATCTCTTAACTTTGTTCAACTAGGTGTTTCCCAAAAGAATTTGACTATGGATGCGTTCTTGCTTAAAACTCATTGCATCAGGTAAAGTCCTGGGGAATACAGTGTTTGGAAAATAGTTAATGCCCAGGATTAATCTCAATATAACCTGAGTTCTTTGTTAGATGGAATGAGACAGCATGTCATATGGTGTCTCTGATCTTGAGGATGCATACAAATACCAGGTTCCCTTGGAGAAAATGAGACAAGAGGCAGAACTTGTTCTGCTGGGGTAATCGTGTAAAATTTATTTTTCCTTAGGAATCTGACTTTGTTTTTTCAGTCACTCTACCCTTGAGAGCTGGGTCAATAGAACCACTGTGGTTCTAGTTATGGAAATCAGTAGAATGTATGCTTACTGACAATCTGGTAATTGACCCACAATTTTCAGGGGTGGAGTGACTGGAAAAGCAAAGGAAGATTCCCAAGCAGAAATAAGTTTTACATAATTTGCCCTAGCAGAGCAAGTTCTGCCTCTTGTCTCATTTTCTTCAAGGCAACTTGGTATTGGGATGCATCCTCAAGTTTAGAGAATGCATATGACATTCCCTTAACACAGAGTTAAGTAGTCTCTGAAGGATATAAGAAACAACCTAAAGCCTTTTTTTTTTCCTGATCTTTTAATGTGCGAGGTAAATGGAGATTAGAAATTTGCTTTGAACTAAATGAATAGGTGGAAATGCTTACCTTGTCAAAGTGAGGTCTTAACATTGAGAAATATACAAAGTAAAATTAAAACTGTTTTTAAGGATTTGAAAAATATGCTAGAAATGTCAGCATTTAAAAATCCAAGGAGACAAAGAGATGAGTAGAAATCATTTTGACTTCTGCTTATAAGAAGATTCTCTGTAGTATGACAACGCTATTTTTGGCAAAAATCAGTGTAGAGAGATAGATGAATTTGTTTTTGAAAGTGCTATTTTTTTTTAAAGCAAGGGATAAACTTTACTGATTTCCCTGGCAGAACATCATGACTACTTTCTAAGATGGCATATGGTAGGCTGGGGTTGTGGCTCAGCAGTAGCACACTTGCCTGGCATGTGTGAGGCACTGGGTTCGATTCTCAGCACCACATATAAACAAATAAGTGAAAATAAAGGTCTATAAACAAATGAAACAACAACAACAAATAAAAGATGGTGTATGGTGCAAGGAGATCTTCAGCCTGGTGGGGAACTGGAGTCCAGAGAAGGAAGAGGGAGAATGAGAGCATATGAATGACCACAACCAACATATTAAAGAACAAATAATTTCACACCTTCACTGTTGTGTTTCATATTTCAGCACATCATTCCCACGTGTACCTCATCCCATACTTGTTCACATGCCAGAGATTCTCAAGATTATAATCATTGCCTTCTCTACAAGAGAAACAATTGGGTTTGGGTCTAATCCAGGCCCATTGCTTCTTAAAAAAAAAAATCCCGTCTTCCTCAGGCTATTTGTTTTTCTGACTCTAACACCTTTTGGAATCCATTAACTTATTACTATTGGAAGAGATGGTAAATATATTCGATTATACACATTTTCCATAGTGCAATGCATTTTATTTCATTCAAACTTTGTATCAACCTCCAGAGATTAAGTATTGTATCACTTTTACAACTGAATAAAATCTTGGTGAGGTCAGGTGCTTTCCTAAGATCACACAGCTTGGGGGTGGTAGAATTGAGATATGAAATTGAGCTATGAATCTACCTCTGACTGCAAACCAAGGTCTTGCTTTGTATGGTGCTTCCCTGCAAGAAGATGGTGTTTTGTTTTGGTGGAAGAAGAGAGCTTTTATGGAAAACAAGGCTCAAACACATCCATTCCTGCTCTTATTTTCTTTCTAACTCATTCTGCATAGCAAACAAAATAAGCACATTGATGGAGATTTAAGAATGTGTCTGACCTTGAGTTTCCCCTGGGAAAGAACACTTGCTAAATATTTTCTGGTGAGAGGCAGAAACAAACATCAGAGCAGACATTTAGTCTTTCTAAAGCCTTTGGCAAAGACCAGAGCTCTTGATACCTGAGGAGGTTAACAGAGCTGTTCATGGATACTTGAGCTAAAATATTTAAAAGAAATTCTAAAAGTGATTTTTGTTCCTAAGGAAAGTATGGAACAGATTTACTTGAATTCAAGATTTTTTTTTTTTTGCACATAGCTTTGAGGATGTGTAAAAAAGAGAAGTAAATATTTCCAAGTTTTGCCAACATCTATTTTTTAAAAGTAAAATCTATCATGATGTTTCTTTCGGCTTTGGAGAAACATACTTGGTGCTGTAAGCAGCAAATGTAACCAGTCTTATATAAAATGCATTCAGAACTCTAGTTGAGATGCATCAGAACTGTTCCCTCAAAAATTTCTCTTCCATTCAGTTTCTGTCCAAGGTATCTCCTGTAACTTTTGTATTTTGAAAATCTTCTCATCTGTTATACCAATTCCCAAGGAAGCCACATTAGGTTCACTTTCTGAAATTATTCTCAAAAGAAGCTTCTAAAGATGAAAATGAAAAAGACTGTTTTGATGTTACATCTGGGAGTCAGTAGCACCTTATCAACTTATGACTTAAGGTCATTCAAGAGTCCCCTAAGAGGCACAGGGACAAACTGGTAGACAGGATTACACACTCTGAGAAAGAATGTGTGGCCTGAGGGAGAAGAGTTCTGAAAACTCTAGGTATCAGGAAACACAGTAGGAACATCTTTAATTAATGTAGTCCAAGAAGTAGACACATAGGCTATAAAGCTCTTCAACATAGTCCAAGAGCAAATCTCTTATTTTACAGATGTGGAAGTAGAATCCCAGAGAAATCGTGTTTATTTGCCCTTGGGTCACCCAGTGAGTTACGAAGTTCTGTTGAACTTCACTCCTTCTCCTCCGTTAAAGTCTATCTAGCATCTAGAGAATTAAACAGCAAACTGGTTTCTCTTCACTAGTTGAGAAGCAGCAGAAAGTCTTAAAAAATACTTTCCAACAGTGAATTATATTTTTCATATACATATCTATGTTCTTTTTAAGACAAATCTGTGTACTACAGGAACAAAAAGAATTAACTAAGGTACTTCAGTGACTAATGCTATTATAAAATAACAAAATATATAGAAAAGTTTCAGACATAAGTAAAATAAAAGTCAACAGTAAGTTGTGGTTTTCCTTAAGCATGATTTCAAGTAGTATAAAGTGTTACCTCAGTTCTTACTTTAGAATTTCTCATTCGTATATGGGAAGTCCAAATTAACTAGTTCCACATATATACACTAAGAACCCTCATTCCTTACATTTTTCAAGGGGTAGGAGTTTCAAAGTAGATTTCAGAGCCTAAAACTTTCCTGTAATTTTTATTTGCTTGTAATTAGCATTGTTTTCAGTATCATATACTTTTTCTAGAATTAGGAGGAACATTGATTAGCCATAATAATTAAAATAATCAAATATGTCACACAGTAAGTAATGCTTTAATACAGCATTATATAAATAATATCTCAATCTAAAGAACATTCAACAAACAAACAAAGCCACAATATTAAGCTGCTTTTAAAATCTAAAATGGTATAGGTCCTATTTGCAGCCATTCTTTCCCAAATATTTTAATTATGTACAGTGAGTCCTATGCTATCTGAAGTTTTCTTTACCCATTAACATTTGTCTGACAAAACTAATCTCATAAAAGATAGCAAGCTATATTTTCTAAAAATTATTTTCAATTGCTAAATTTCCTAACTCTGTTATTAGGCTTCAATTATTTAGATGATTAGATGATTAATTTCTAAAGCATGCTCCTAGCTTCCTGGGAGACTATTGAAGTTCTAGGCAAAAGTGAGAAAGGTCAAACCTCTCTTAGGAAAATAAATAAGTGTTGGATATAATTATGTAAATATGCAAGGAAAAGGCCTAAGAATCCATGTTTACAAACTGTAGTTCATGACAGTATTTTGCTGCTATGAAGCAAATGAATTTGCTCAAAAGTAGACACCAAGTGAAATCAATTTGAAACCAAATAGATGGAATTCTTTTTCTCTTCTTTTGAACTTCCACTCATTAACATGTTCTGACTGTATCATCAATTTTAATTGTTTTCCATTGATTAGGCACCTGACATATAAAGAATCTTGTTGGATGTAGTGAGAACTATCATTCATACATAGTACCCTAAAAGAAATTAGGTTGATGGGCAGCCACCTCCTAAGAACAGCCTCTGTTTAATTCCTGGAGGCATCTCACAAGAAAACTTCAGAGAAAGCTAGGAGAAAAATTTAGAAAGTGATCGATTGGAGGGGTTTGTTGGGTCACTGTTTCTCAAACATTAGCAGACATATGGATCACCTTGCAGGATTTTTGTAACAGTGTAGGATTTGGGGCTCTACCCCCAGAATTAGTGATCAAGACTGGAGGAGATACTAGAATCTGCTGTTATAACAGGTTCCCACTTGCTGCTGTGGTCTATGGACCACTCTGAAAAACTGTAGTGTTTGGGAAATGGCTTCCTCAATTTCTGGTCATTTAAAAATTGTCCTCAAAGTTTTCCTCATCTCCATCCAGGCCATTACTGAACCTGCCACCATGTGGATTCCCCCAGGTGGTCCATCTCTTGGAACAAGGAAGAGCCCTTCTTCAGGACCTTGGAGGCTTTACCAGCAGCAAAGAAATTGCCACTCAGCTTGCACGCAGCTCGTATGTTTATGTTACTTATGCACTTTCGTTTCCTAAGGAGAAAAATGATTTCTTGAAGAGATGGATTTTATTGCCTAACAATAAGTGAGCTGTTTAGAACCAAAGTAACTAATTTCCAGAATGTCAAATTAAAAGACAAAGTAGCACTTGAGCCTGAAACAGCTGCAGACGCAGTTGCAGAAGTCCACGCTCAATCAGTGGAAATCCAAAGCAGCTGAAGCAGCTTTTTCCTCAAACACTTAAGTGCTTTCTCCTTTCATATAACTCATATTCATTCAACTGCATTATGATACTTTAAAAAATGCCAACATTGTCATTTCTGTATGCATTTGTAAACCAGTTCTTCCGAAGAGATGAAATTAAATTTGCAGTCTCTAATGACATAAACTGAGCCCTACCTAATATCTTGCTGTGTATAAAACAGGCTCCCATTCTCCAAGACCTGAAGGGAATGATGAAAGATGCTCAAGAGTATGGAGAGGCTGCGTTTCTGTACACTCTGTGCTCTCTGACTCTTAAATTGAAGGAACTTGATGGTTTTGGCTTCTCCTCTGCAGGTTCCCTGTTTTCTGGCCCTGTTGTAGCTTCCCAACTGGGGTGACCATATTACCAATGTCTGTATTAGTTTTTCCCTGCTGCTATAACAAATCACCACCAATTTGACATCTGAAATGAATTTATTACTTCACAGTTTTGTGACATTATAAAGTACTGTAAAATTTCACCAGGCTAAAATCCAAGTTACTGTAAAGATGGGTTGCTCCTGTTTGGAGGTTCTAAGGGAGGATTTATTTCCTTGCTCGTTTGGGTTATTGGTAGGATTTAGTCCCTTGTGGCTGTAATACTAAAAATACCATTTCTTTACTAGCTGTGAGCAGAAGGCTGTTCCAAGTTACATACATTCTTTGACCTTGGTCCTTGCCCTCCATCATGAAAACCAGAAAAAAAGAAGTTGACCCTCTCATGCTTGAAATATTTCGCCCCTTTCCATTTTGTCATATCTCTCTGACCTTCATAGGAAAGAAGGACTCATGCGACTAGACTGGGTCCACCAAGTTAATCCAGGATACTCTTTACATCCCAAGATCCATATTGTGAATCCTATCAGCAAAATCCCTTTTCCATGTAAGATAATATATTCACAGGAATATATGTCTAGGAATTTGATTTGGGGGGCATATCATTCTGCTTATCACACTCTTTAAATAAGGTCACCTCTAAAAATAATTGTGGCATGTGTGTTAGCTTTTCAACACTGTGACAAAATACCTTGGAAAATCAACATAGAGAAAGGTTTATTTTAGAGAGATCCTGGGACAGGGCACAATTCCAAAGATCTGATCTCTCAACTAGTTTCCATCTCCTACGGTTTCCACCACCTCCCAACAGTCCATTCAGTTATGACTCCATCGATGGGTTTGATTAAGTTAGATCCTTGTGAATCCAATCACTTCCCCAGTTCCCCATTTCTGAACATTTCTGCATCGGGGACCAAGATTTTGAAACATGAGCCTTTGGTGGATATTCCAGATCCAAACTATAATAGCATCACAACAAGAATAAACCAAGGCACATCATCACCTATACACAACCTAAAAAGTTGGAGTTAGGAGTCTAAAATGAAGGCGTGTGTGTGTGTGTGTGTGTGTGTGTGTGTGTGTGTGTGTGTGTATGTGCGTGTTTGTATGCTGGAGTAAGCCAGTTAGCTCTATCATCAATTGGTTGAATTAAAATAAATATTTTAATAGTTACTTCTATGGACCAGGAAATGGTGATGAAGTACCAGAGAGATGAACCACACAACTGTGCCTTCAAGAAGTTTCCAGCTAGTTTTCAATAGATGTGTTTATGAATGTCCACCTGTCCTCTAAATATGTTCTAGTTCCATATGAATTGGTGGGGAAGGACAAACATTTGATTTCAAAGTAAGGGCATTGGTTTCAGAAGAAAAATAAATTTTCCTTGACCATGAAGGCACACAGAGAACAGGATGATGAGAATCTATTCTCTAACCATTAGGCTGGCAAACCAGGCCCATTGGGTTTTGCTGAAGAGAAGATAAAATGAGTGTCCTATTTAGAACATTCCTTTAATTAAGAAGTAGACTATTGGGGATTTTGCTTTAATTAACCACACAGTACCACATTAACCTTTTCTGATGTTGTTGTAAAGTTGAAACTGCCTTCCCTGAGGTAGAATTTTTTTTCAAATGCATTCTGCTCTCCTTTAGGCATAAGCAGATTGAAGAAGAAATGAAATAAGAAGATGCTATAGCTACTATTTCCATTAAAAGGTAATTAAAAAACTCAAATTATGCATATATTCAAACATGATTGTATAATGATTTAAAATGAGGCAATTAGTTCAAGACATTCATTGGTTCTAGTTAGAAATGCTTGCATATTTTATACAAATTAATGTTTTGTATTTATTTACATTTGAATAATACTGCAATATGAGACTTTCTGGCTTGATTATCGTAATGCTATTAATTTGTCATAATCCTATTCATACAAGAATGGCTATAATTTTGAGTTGTGTATTATTTTAATATTCTTATGATCAAATGGTATCTTATACATTATTTGAAATTTTTTTTCATAAGCTGTTACATCATTTGTACAAAATTTAGGTGGTGTTTCTAGCTAAATGTATTTAGAGATATGTATTGTTAAAAAGCATATTCAAAATAGTTATACACAAAATAATTAGAACATTATGAAGTACTTTAACCTTAAACTCTTCATAGTTTAAGAATTTAAGTTATTAATGACTTCTTATTTTGAATAACTATTTTTGAATACCACATTATTTCTGCTAGATATTTAAATTTTAATTTCCATAATTGTGACTGACATGAATTACATGAAAGTGAGTAATGCCAAACTTGAAATAGATCTATGAAATAAGCCAGTTTTATTACAGGAAAAATATGATAGCAAACAAAGAAAAGTTCTCTTAATTATGTGAAAACAAAGACATTGAATATGAATGTGTACATCAACACTGAAAATGATGCAATTTATATCAAGGGATATAAAGTTTTGGAATAAGCTTACAATCAGGAGAGAAATACTATGTCAAAACAAATTTCAGTTTACAGAGTAGAAAATACAAATGTTGAGTTCTATTATCATTTTCTATTATATGCACATAAATCATTATTTTTCAGGTTTTTAAATTTTCAAAAAACATTTAACTCAAAATGCATATTTATCAAAGAATGTGTTTGTGTAATGAATGTAATTATGAAGGAATTAAAATTTCTTTTCATTTGGTGTAAAGCATCACAAATAGTAAACTGCATTTGGAATAGGTTTGGAAATAGCATGTCACGAAGGATGGGATCTTAATATGCTCTGGGAGAGCAGTTGAGGGAGCAAAGATACTGAAGACAGCATAGAATGATGAGGTAAATGACACTGGCTGATAATGAAAAATTAGAAATGGCTGGGCCACCTAAGAGTTTGCAGAGCAAGAGTCTTATATGAAAGCTATTCAGAATAGATTTCAAAGTTTATTTTAGTGGGACAGTATGATGTCAACCAAAATATTAGGTTCAAAATGTCTTAATTATTTCAACACTAAAAAGTAAATTTAGGTATTCAATGCATACAAAAAGCATGTAGTATAAGCAAGATAATAGGCTGAACATAAAAGACACAAATATGAATTTGTCATGGTCTTGCATTTCTGATAAATTAGTGAGAAAGAGATACATATAATTTACTATAACATGAAAGGTTCTATAAAACAAATGGGTACAAGATAGTATGACATTATGTATGCTACAGAAGGTGCTGATAGTTGAGCATGTCCCTTAGCATGGCACTATAGAGGTGGTAACTTGAGGTTTAAACTGTAATTTATGGAGTTTAAGGTAGAATAAGGACAGAAATACCACTGGCAGGGAGAAAACTGATTACAAGCACAGAAGCCCAGGGATGCATGCAGGGACCTGGCAGATGATGTCAAAAGGGTTTTCAAAAAACAATTAGGTCTAGTCATAAAGGGTCTTGAAAGTCATAACTTGTGTTGTGGGCTTTATTCCTGGTAATGTAAAAACATCAAGGATGTTATTGTAGGGGGTTTGTGTATCAGATGGTTCAGAATAGAATAAAAAAATGATTTGCAAAGAGGGTAAACTGTTAGAAAGGCTTCCATGGTCCAATGAGAGCTGGAAACAATTGCTATAAAAAAGGCTTAGCTTTTACAGTGAGAAGAGAAAGGCTGGAGAAAAAATGGTGGAGATATAATTGGGTTCTTTAATGTTACTCACTGAAATAGGCCTGTGTGAATAATAGCCAGTTTGGAGACGAGTTGGAAAAGGGATCAGAAGTCAGTTTGATTTTGTTCATTTCTAATTTGAATTGTCCATGGGCCTTTCCATTAGATGTATTCAGTAGGCAGTTGAATATCTGAATCGTATGCTGCAGAAGGGAGGTCAGAACAGAGATACAGATTTGGGCATGTTGTAATTGAACCTTTGAGGATGGGATGAGATTACCCAGGGAGAGCCTATACATCGAGAGGTGACCTTAAATATTTAGAAGGTGAGTAGGTGAAGAGCTACGAAAGAAGTTAGAAATAATTTGCCAGAAATGGAAGAGAAGAGTCAGGACAGGGTAATGTAGGACTGAGCCAGTGTATCCAAGCCAGCATGTAGCCTGTTTCAGCCCTCTTACACAGACTCAACTCCACAGATTAACACAATCTCTCCTTAATTACATTGAATTTTCTTAGTTATTGGTTGAGGATTTGCATCCAAAGGACTGGCAATCAATTTCTTTTTAAGGATGGAGTTATCAACTTAAAAAACTAAAACTAAAAACACTTATGATGCAAATTTCTTTACTCCAGTGTCTCAGGTTGCACTTCCGTGATTTTATTAAGTGGTCCCCAAATACTATTATTCAAAATTGCAGCCACAATCCTACAAATCTATTGTTATTTTCATGTAACAGAGGTAATGAGATGCTTAGATACTTCACAACTCTTGTTTCTAAGCACATATTTTCTCTGGTCCCTATTAGCACTAGCAGAAATGGCTTAAAAGTGACATAAGCAAAAGCTATGGTGTAAATGCACAGCTGTTTATCTTTGCCTAACTCACATTCTTCACACAACCGATATACATGCTATACTTAGGCACACTCTTTTATTTTCTTGTTTTATATATACTCGAGGCATCTCACATTTGTTCTGTTTCCTTGCAACACTGTCACCTAAAAGAACTACCTTTTAAAAAGTGGAAGCTTAATGCAGTGATTTCTTTTTTCTTGCTAACGTTTTAACTGTAGTTTTCTTTTTCTTCTTTTTTCACATTATCTCCAAATATTTCTTCTTGACCTCAGTACTGCTGTTTTAGAGATCTTCTGATTTCCCTATTATTTTAGCAGGTAATTTTCAATTATTCCATGAGCACAAAGAGTAGAAATGAAAAAGAATCAAAAGGTAAACATACCCTCCAACACTCTGCCAGCACAGTCTCTAATACAATTGGCAAAGAGTTTTGAACTATTCAGAAAATTCAACCTGAGCCGACCTGGGAGTGCCCACAGATCTGATGACTCTTCACTCACTGAATATTAGAGATAAATGGGGACATGGTGAGCCTCAGGTTTGCTTCCATATTTCTGTCCTGGAGGCTTGTCAAAGAGCATCTTTGGAGAAGTCAGGGAACAATTTGTCCTATGGATTTGTAGAAGAGGCTTTAATAATGGTCTTCATATAATTCTCTTTTAGTCTTCTAGTATTATTGGTAGTCAAAGCATAAAGGGACAAAAGATATAAACAAATTAGAATATTTAACATATAAACTGGAGTGGACTGCCAGGGTTTTAGAAGGAAGGGGGTAGTTGTAATGGTTCTGAGAAAGAATGGGCATGTGATATGTGTGAAATCAATTTCCTCATACTTGGGATTGGGTTACTTTGAGGAGACTTATGGAGAAAGTGCATACGGAGAACTGGGATGATCAGATATTAGTGATACAGGGATGGTCCCATTTTCTGTTCCCTGGGAAGCACACTCTAAGACATTAGTGGGTGGAGATTTTATTAAAAACGGCTTCTGAAAAAAAGTGTGTTAGTCAGCTTGTATGTCTCTGTGACCAAAATACCTGACAAGAACAACTTAGAAGAAAAAGTTATTTTAGGCTCACTATTTCAGAGATCTCAGTCCATAGATGCCTAACTCTATTGCTCTGAGCCCAAGGTGAGGCAGAACGTCATCACAGAAGGGCCCCACAGAGGAAGCTGCTCAGTTCATGGCAGACTCAGGAAGCAAGGGAGAAGGGGCTTTCAGGAAAGATGAACCCTTCTAGAACACAAACCCAGTGATCCACCTCCTCTGGCCATGCCCCACCTGCCTACAGTTACCACTTAGTGCATTCAAATTAGATAGGCTGATATGGTCACAGCAATTATAATCTAACAATTTCATCTCTGAATATTCCTGCATTAGCACAGGAGCTTTGCAAGATAACTCATACAAACCATAACAAAAAGAGAAGGAAAAAATAATTGGAAATAGAGAGGAATTGGACTTTGGTACTGTTTTAATTTCTATTGTTAGAGTTTCTCTCTAACTTGGTTTTGAGATCTCTGCCTTTTGAGTGGCCAGATGCTTTAACCCTGTTCTGCCTGATGTCCAAATATCGGAACTATGACCAGGTGCCCCTTTCTCAGGAATCTTATTTGAACTTGCAGATGCTGTTGGGCTTCTGTCTGATGTATCTACTCCTGCCAGTATTTCCCCTCTCTTAAGAGGCCTGTGTGCTGGTCAGGGGAGACTCACGAGTAAATAAAATACAAAAATACATGAAACAGGAGAGATTCATTACTAAGCAGTCCCAGAGAGTTCAGGGGTGCTGATGGGAGGCTTACAGGAAGTCTGGGGGTTTCTGGCTCTCAACTGGTTGGGTGAAGGGAAAAAGGCAGGCAGGGAGGGAGGGGAGCATGTGGGAATTTGCCTTGACTGAGAGTTTTCCCTTAGGCTTTCCCAATGGGGATTGAGGATTCGCTATTAAAGATAAAAAGAACTCACATGGGGCTGTGGTATGGGAGAGCTAGTTTCTATAATTCAGGGGTGGACTGTTAGGTTTCACCACTGTCAGCAGCTGTGGGACATGCTAGGCTGTGGAATGAGTAACATTCAGGTTAAACAACTTGGTTTAAAACAATGTATTTCGGGTCTAAAAATGGATGCTGAAGCAAGAGCTTCATTCAGCAAACCTATGACAGGTGCAATGTCAATCTAGTCCTCAGCCAAACTCAAAGCTGAGGTGGTCCC